AGAGAGAGAGAGAGAGAGAGAGAGAGAGAGAATTTATTTAATTTAAAACTCAATAAGTTTAATTAAATCAATGAATCTATTTAATTTCTATCACGGAGGGTTTTTCCAATGCCTACCATGATTATATTAATATTGATACTTCATTAACTCTATTTAATTCATTACTAACTAAAATTTTTATTTAATAGCTATAATAAGTTTAATAATCTCAGCAAATTTATACTTTTGCATTAGTATGATAAATTATATAATGTTTAATATTTATCGTATATAAAATTACCATAATATAACATTGATTTAATTTAATATATAATGCATCCGTATTAGACTAGACGTATTACTGATAAATTTACATTTTTAATTAAACATACTGTAGTTATTGAATACAGATCAATGAAATGTGGCATAATTATTATACAAAGTGAAATATTTAAGTAATTCAACAAAATAACGTTTACTTAACCCTAGATTTATCTCTGTCATTAAACTCTTTAAGGTAGATAAATAATTAATTACTAAATAAACAAAACCTAGCTGATCAATATATACAAAATAGATACACAGATGAGTTATTCAACTATACAATCGACAGTATAGACGACATTGTTGTTTGTTTTGGTGTCATTCAGATGTATGGTCTCCGGAGTGGTAGAGACGCCCCAACTCTGCAACTCTGCCGATGCGAACAATACATAGACAATGGATGTGACGATATATACGGCCGATGATATGTAGAACACATACGACCAGTTCGTCAGTGTTTGCTATAATTATGACAATAATAAACGTAATCATTAATAACCAGGGTATTTTGAGTGAAGTTGGTAAAAATAAACTGCGCCAAATTGTTACCCAATTATAAAATACGTTTAGTTTTTTTAATATATGATAATTTTCAAGTAATTATTAATTTACAGTTTATATATAAATAGAGAGAGAGAGAGAGAGAGAGTTCATACCCCATCATCATAAAAGGCCGCGGCGACCATCGGTGCCACAAAACCGGGAATATTGCCAATACTATTGGTCAGACCCATAAGAGTGCCCGCATAATTGGGCGCCATATCCACGTGTGTTGAGTTAAAACCGGGATAATTGCAACCATTAAGACCCATACCTAACACAAATAGGGCGATGCTCAGGGTTGTATTGCACCTTGCTAAAGCCACAGCCGCTAGGCATACGGCCGGTCCTATGAATGCTGTAAAATAAATGTAACATTACTAGTTAATTTTGTGTTTATAATAATAATTTTGTTTTTAGCATTGAATACCTATGGTATTATTAGTTTTACGTATGACATTGATCCTAATAGTGCCCCTTTGGCGCAGATTATCGCTAATGAATGATGCGGTCCACGCGATCACCGCCTGTAACAGGTATGGCAACGAAGACATGAGTCCATTCTGTGATCATAAAAAAACATGATAATTATATATTAGTTATTTTATAACTTTCAATTAATTTTGACATTTTCTTACACTTTTAATGTTAAGGTTTAGCACTTTCTCGAAATACGTGGGCAATAGTGTAAGTATTGTGAGAAAACCCCAATTCTGACCAAAATGTGTTATAATTAAGGCATAGACGGGAACTGATGTGAGTATCTCTCGCCAGGGAGTCATACGTTTCTGTCAATTCAGACACCAAAACACACATCAAATAGAGGTTCAGCTATACTTTCTATATAATTATTGCTTTGATAATACTGTATATGACTTACCGTTTGTGATCTGTCCCGGGGCTGATCCGCCACAATATAATCGTATTCCTCTTGGGATATATAGGGATGCGCTTCGGGTGTCTCGTGAATTAACAGCGCCCACAACACAAACCACAAACAGCCGGCCACTCCGAGCACGTAAAACACTGATGGCCAGCCGCCTAGAAAGTTACTATCGCACAACACACCGGCCAGGGGTAGTGTAATCACTGTGCCCATTGGTGCTCCCGTGTATATCATGGTAGTGCCCCGGGAGCGCTCCATCTTGGGCATCCATCGGGATAACATTGCATTCATACAGGGAAACATCGCCCCCTCGGCTAACCCCTGGCCTATGCGGGTGGCAATGAATGCCGTGTAGCCGAGTCGGGCGGCCACCGGTCCCATCAGTGATAGTACTGCTGCCGTGACTATAGCGCCGCCAAACAGCCATTTACCGCCGTATCGCTCGGCGAGCACTCCGGCCGGCAATTGGGTCACGACATAGCCGTAGAAAAATGCACCCAATATGACGGCCTGGGTATCAGAGTCCCAGTCGCTGAACTCGCCCGGTGCTGGTGTGGTTGCACCGGGGGTTTGGGTTGCGTTGCCCGTGGATACAAAACATGTGTCGCTTGATTTGGTCTGGGAGTCGGTGTCCGTGTGGCCCACCATCGACACGATGGCCACACTTAGCACTACTTTGTATGCGTAGGCCAATACAAAGCCAAAGAAACTGAGCATGATGAATAGGTAACGGGCCGGTACGTACCGGTACACACCAGTCGACTCCCGTTTTACCACTTTTTCTGGCGTATCAAATGTTTTTGCCATTTTTTAGTGGGTTTACTGTATATGTTGTGAATTAAGTGTTAGGTATTTATACAATTAGTTGATTGTATAGTTTGTAAACATTGAATAAAATTATTAATATTATATTATTTCTAAAACATTGAATTGTATTTATTGTAAATTAATTGATGAAATAAGTGGCAAATAATTGATGTTTGCGCTGAAAAGCAATTATTTATTAGCAATTATTTGGCTTTTATACAAGTATTTGTATCAAAAAATATACGTAACATATAGTGGTATATATGAAATCTGCTTCAAACATATGTAGATAACTTTTCATTCAAATCCCACACTTGTGTTAGCTAATTGTTTTAATAATTTTATAAAATATATCCTTTTTATAACTAGTTTAATACTAAGGCAGTTATTATCACCATAAACCATAAATTTAGTTGTATTCTAACACCGGTTTAAAATAAAAATGATACTATTCTGTACTAAGGTAGAAGTTTAATGGTAACCAAACAATTATATTGATGATTTTATATGTGATTGTTTATTAATTACATATCTATTGTGTTTATATATAAGCATACTAATTATTTTGTACTCATTGACAAAGAAATGACCTTAACATTCATTGCAATTATACTTATATATAATTTTAGTTACATGTATGAACAATGATTTAATATTATTATTATTATTATTATTAAAGTTAATTTTAGTGCAAATCATTATTGTTTTTTGTCATTTAAACAAATGTTAATTTTTGTAGGTTTTGTAAAATAAATTTTTTAAATAATTGTTATTTTATAATTATTATTTCACAATTTACTAACTAGAGTACATCTAATTAAATAATAAGCAACACCATGGCAATTAGAAATATGTAAATATTAATGTTATTAAATAGTTATTAAAACAGGTAATATATAATTTTTCTAACAAAAAAAGTACAACATATTTTAATAAATGAGACAACAATTAATATAACAATAATAATAAATTAAACATGTGTTTACAACAATACAAACGACCTAAAAAGTAACTAGTAAATAAATATCATATAAGAATCTAATAGTAAATATTGTCAGTTTACTAATAATCCTATTTTTCTACTAATACTTTCAATGAAAACTATTTATTAAATATCTAAAAGTGGTAATGGATTAACAAGTGACTAGTTATTATTTAATGTTTTATATTGAATAAATTATGCAGTATATTAAACTAAAAATTGTACTTATATATTTTAATTATATTAAAAATTTCATGATAACTTAAGTAAATATCCCAAATCGAAATCGTATCATATGGAATAGATCATTTAACTAATTTGCTGAGCCTTAAGTTAAGTATTTACGGCTTACTTCGTTATACGGGGTAAAATAAAATGCGTTTATTGACGCAAATATTTTTTAATTCAGAGAAAATTGAGAATAAAAATAATTGCAAAAAGTGAACTGAAATTGACAATCAAATCATAAATATTCAATCAATTGTTTCCTGTATTTGTAAGAAATACTGAACCACTTAAATAAAAAGCTATTTAATAGCATTAGTGCATTGTTCAATATAGTATTTAATCGGGGAGTCACAAGTAAATTTTATCGCAAGTACACTGTACTAAAGTGATTATTAATTATGCTGTTTTACAATACTATTCATGTTGTGTACTTTATTTCATTATATAATTTGTTATTATAATTGCATTAATTAGATACTTCTAATTATTACACTTTGTTTGATTTAGTTACACAACAGTTAATTACACAACATTATAATAGTTAATTTAAAGTTTATAACCTTGATTTTTAAATTTAAAACTTAACATGTTAATAATAGAATTATATAATACTAAACTGAAACTAATAATTCTAAACTAGTTGAATTGGACTTAAGTCTTATTAATATGATAAAAATAAGTTACCTATACATTTGTGTACAAATACTTGAATATAATACTCTACTGCTTTGTGATTTATTTTGCAATAAGGTACTTTTACCTTATTAGCAGGGTGCAAATAAACGGATTTATTGTCTACTATCACATCACACGTGTATTTGCAAAATACAATAAAAACTATCAAAATATTAATTAATTGATTGATTATTATTAAGGGAAAAATAGTTTATATAAGAAATGCGATTTTTCACATTAAATCTCATGATTTGTGTAATAAGTATTGAAGTATTTATTAGTGCATTAAGTTTAGTAAAATTTATTACTTTAGGTAGTTACCATCATCAAATGAGCATTTATTTTAATTATATAAGTAATAATAAAATTAAAAGAGTCATTAATAATTATCATTATCAGATACTATAATTTTAATGCATTATTAATTGCAAGTTAAAAAATTTCAAAGTATCATGAATAATTTATAAATATATAATATAAATTTTTATTAAAGGATACAGAATGTGTATATAAAATGAATTTATCATATTCACAAACATTGACCCAAATTATATAAATATATAAATTATTTATAAATTTACGTCTGATTAAACAGGACTCAAAATACTAATTATTAATTACTCGTTATAATATATTACTTTAATTACATGTATTTGTCATTTAAAGAGTTGACCATAGTGAAAAATTTATATTGAATCAATAATTAATAATTTATTGATAATAAAATTATTATTATTATTTCACAGTAAACATTAAATAAAGGGCCATTAAACATTATTTAATATTCAATTTTTAGCATTTTTGCCATTACAACTGTATTGCTATCTATATAAACTGTAAATTAATAATTACTTTAAAATTATAATATTTTTAAAATCTAAAATTATTTTACTATTGGCACAACAATTGACGCAGTTTATTTTTCGCCTTTATAATACTTCTCATTTAGTTATTTACTGTAACTTATGTTATAGCGTCTATGTAATAAATTAATATTTTATAAATACGAGCAATTTAATTTAAAATAAAGGTGATATTTGATGATTATTTAAATAAAATAAAACATATAGCATTATACAAATGATTAAAATTTAATATTTAATATAGTAATATCTAATAGATGACTAATTTACACTGATATAATAGACCTCCAATGTTGTAACAGTTTGTTATTAATAATTAAATAGAAAAATAAATTAATTGTTTAATTAATGTATTGATTTTATGACAAAAGTTGTGTTGAGTTATTATTAATCATATTCTATTATTGTTACATTTTTACTACATTTATAATTATTTGTTCAGATCTTGATAACTTAATTTAATAATGTTAACACAAGACAATTAAATCAACAATATAGATTAAATTTATAAACTATATTATAGTTGTGTTAGATCACATTTAGTACCCCGTATGCCGTATGTATCTACCATTCAATGCAATCCTACGTGACCTTAACCATGGTCTACGAGCTCTGACATTACGAACCTTGCTCAAAATATTAAATCTAAATAGATTTCTATTACTGATCAGTCGGTATTTATTTAGGATAAAATCTCCGGCAATCCACACGTATCCGGACAACAACATCGCCGACAAACCAAACCATAAGTTAAGAGTTGATCCCAAATACGATATGAACTCTTGAGGGAAAACCTTTGGTGAGTGGATGTATATCAGGTCCGATGTCACCGGCGGCAGCACTGGTACGTAGAACAGGTCGGACGGCCGGTACGTTGACCTGACCCGAAGCTGGTAGTAGTCCTCGTGGCACTCGGGCTGAAAACCACACACACGGCGGCAATTGTCACCAAACATCTGGTCCAGAGTATAGTTACGCACATAGAGTCCAAAAACGTCTAACATCATCAGCTCCGGGGAGGTATTGTTGTCGGCCAAGTAATTGCCCGGCCATCGGCCCGGGTATGCGCGCGTAATCTGGTCGATACGGCACTGGTCTATGCAATGGCTACGCGATTCATAGGCGTCCCGATAGTCTCGACACTGGGTCTCGTACGGGGCGGGCATTGAGTGCACCGTTGATCGGGTGTAGACTATAAACCGGTTAATTGTACGGTTGTTGGGGTCTCGCCGGTGCTCCAGGTCTATGGTGTTGTGTTTGTAAAAGTTGCGCACCCGATGGTCCCGGGGGTGGGCCGTGAAGTAGATCCGCTCCACACTATCGTTCAATATCAAGTACACCAAACTCCGGGTGTGGTCTCTGAAGATCATACTGTTTTTGATGTGATACCTGTCGTCTGACTGGCCGTCCAATTGTGAGAATAGTGTGAAGCATATGCTATAAATGTTAGTCATTTTGGGTTAAACATAGTCCAAAATATTTTTAATTAATTAAATTATTATAAAAAATAATGGTTAATTATGGGTTTAATTAGAAACGATGTAGAGAATCAATCCAAGAATGTTAATTATTAGTTTACATTTATTATTTAAAATTAACATAATTTATAATTTACAGTTTGAAATACAAAAATTATATGTTAACTGTTAACTAAACAATTTCCTAAATCTATTTATCATTTGAGGCATTTGCTAAATGTTTTAATTATTTATATTTTTAGCAAAATTTTATTATTAAATTAGTCTAAAAACTAGATATAATTATTTGATAATTTTATACATTTGTTAAACATGCAAGCCCAAAAGCATTCATTAAAAATTGTAATTAATTGCTAGTGCAATAAATTATATTTTTTTATTTTGATCAAATATTTTATATAATATTGTGTTAAAATGCCTCAAATATTTTTTTATATTTTTTTAAATTTTTTTAAAAAGTATGACTCTTGTGGCCACATTAGTGGTCAATCGGGCATTATAGAGCATACACCATTTATATTTTTTGTTTTTAACCACTATTTGGCTACAAATAAAGTGGTTGATAGAATAGTT